TGGAGATCAAATACAGGTTATTTAAGCAGTGACAAATCAAAAGTTACTCCCTATCTAAGGCTTGGATGTGAAGGGAGAAAAATGGCAAAGTTAAAATTTGCACTACATTTGACTGCAATTTGATGAAATAAAGGATACAATCCCAGTCTTACTGGCAGAAACATGTGAAATGGAACTGTATGCTTCTGAACTCTACAGAGAATAGTTATATCTGGTGCAATGCAGAGACGTTTCCCAATATCCATGGGATTTTTCTTCTTCCTATGAACAAGGTAACAAAATACAAAAAATAATAATTAAACGAACGAGCGAGCGAACGAGCGAGCGAACGTACGAAAAACGAGCGCACGAAAAACGAACGCACGAACGCACGAACGCACAAACGCAATAACGTCCGCACAAACGTATGAGCGAACGAACACACGTACTAACAAACGAAAGCACGTACGACCGCAAGAACGCACGAACGCATAAGAACATGGACGCACAAACCGAAAAATACTACTAATCACGGAGTACTGGCTGAAAGGCAAATTTATGAGTCAAAAAAAGACCAGCACAAAGAAATCCAAACAACTGGGCTTGAAATTTAATCAAGCAATAAATGGAGAGTACTCAAACCTTTTTGGCTGAATTCGGGAAGAACCAAAGTTAATTTCGGTCTCGCTCCTATAACAACTCAAATTGAATCCTGGTATGATGGTTCTTGATTGATTCTAGCGTAATCATGAAAGATAAGAACTAAAAACATGAATATAGAAAAGAAAACTGTTAAATAAAAACTGAGATGAAGAGAGTATGGCATGTAAAAAAAAACCAGTCCACACAGAAAACTAATTACAGAACAATGTACCTCATTGAAGACCAAAGAACCTTGCCAAACAACAGCACCACTAAATATTTTGGACAATACATCACTTTTGTTGAGAGGTGTGACGGACAACTTCAGACCCTTTTGCCACGACATCAAAAATGAACTCCTTCAAAAATAAACAAATTCATCATTTTACATTAATTTCATTATTACACACAGAGTATGAAGCAACAACCTTTGTTGAGTTTCTATATAAAGAGAACCCTGCACAGTCTCAGTTCCTGCAAACAGTTTTCAATTGAATGGCAAGTGTAATTCCAGAATACACTGGTTTTCCTTAAATTGCTTTTTTCCATTCATTGATCTATAAAGCTAGTGTCACCCTCTTAATTAATCAGATGTCAAAATGAAACTGAATCATATCCACAAATATGAGCAAAACAGAAAGAGAAACTTACATGTCAAACTTGTTGCTATGAAGAACAGTGATGTTGGCATTGTGCCACAGTTGAAGTCGCTTTAAAGCTCCAAACAGATGCATATGGGATCTGAAGCATAAAATAATAACATACATTTCAAAGACTTTGATGAAAAGAACATATTCAGCATACAGCACTCAGTTTTACTATAAAAAAACAATATCTGATCACAAGTTAATTTTATCATTAAATAATTACTAAGGAGAGTTGTGAGAAGTAAATGTTGCTATCTATCTGTAAAGTAACCATTTACCTTATGATCTCTTAGGTGGCTAAGAATTATTTGGCTTGCTGCAAAGTCAGTGACCCACTACAATAACAAAGCTGCTTCACAACTTTTTAGCTAGCACTGGGAATGATGCAATTCACATCATTAATAAGAGTTGCAGTAGTACACAAATGTAGTTATAGTAGACAATATACATTACCTGACAGGGAGGGCATCTCTCCCACAAATAAACCAGAAGACATCAACAGGGACCCCTGCTAAAAAAAACCACAAAAGAAACCATTTAAAAAACAACACTGTTGTACAGTGTAAAACCCCACGAGTCCTTTTGTGTCTACTGAGTACACATCAATCATGTTAACTAAAAAATTAGCACCACTTTTCCACATAATTTAGCTTTTTATTCACAACACAACCAATGTTCTTCTTGTTCTCTTGTCCCATTCATTCTTTAATTTTGCTCACTGTCTATCTCTCTGTCTATCTACCTGTCTATCAGTGCCTGTATATCAGTCTGTCTGTCTGTCTGTCTGCCTCTCTGTCTGTCTCTCTGTCTGAATGACTGACTCTATCATTCCTTTGTTGCCTTTGTGTAACTCATATCTATTCCTAGCCAAAACAGTCAATGTACCTTGTGGTAAGCCATCAGCAAGACTGTGAAGTCGTTCTGAAATTTCAACATCCTTATCTAGAGAACTCCTTTAAAAAAAAAAAGCATCAGTAACTACAATTGTAACAAAGCTATATCCAACAATGATAATGAATGAGGGCAGAGAAAGTTAGGTTTTACAAAATATACAAACCACAGACATAGGGTAAGTCCTTTCTTAGACTAGACCATATATAAAGGTCACAAGGTCACAAGGTCAAAGAAAATACAGCACAATTAAAGTTAAAATCTCCAGCAGATACCTAATTATGGCTGAAATTTTGAGCATATCAGACTTTCCAAGCCACAGCAAAACTTCCTTAAGATTTTCCTCTCCATGCCACTTTGAATAAGTCTAAAATAAATAGACAATAAGGTAAGCCATATCAGATCAGCCATAAATCAGATCTACCATTGAAAACCATACAATAAGATCACATACATCAGATTAGAAATATATCTGATTAAGCATATCATCTTACAATTTCATACAAACCAACCAAAGAAACTCTTCAGTGTTAAAAAAATTCTACCTGTCAGTAATTTAAGAAATGTATAGAGAACAGCATGTAGGATAGGATGGATGTAAAGAGTTACTGGATTAAACTAAGGGTGCTTGCCTTTAATCAGAACAAACCAACCATGCTGGTCACTTTAAAAATGAATGCTGGGCCTTATGTCAAAGGTTTCCCGAAACCCTTAAGATCACAATTGCAATTTCAGTCTGTATGCTACTTTTTCATCAACTTAACCTCCATTTGGTCTATGAATGGCCTGTCCTCAATGATGCTGAAATGAACTGTGGGGTTGAAGTTCTTGAGAGCTAAAAGAGGATCTAAAGTAAAGAGAGAGACTCCAGCTGTCATCATGGCCTCATTCATTAAAATTCCTAAAATTAACTCACAGGTAATTGTCATGCCTTGAGAAATTTTTAAATTAGAATAAGAAAAAAAAATGAAGAATTGCATTAGTTTTGCTTCAGTATATTCTATGCATATGATCCACATATAAAATTCTTGCTAGTCTCTCAAACAATCAAAAGTAAAACTCTTAACCAATCCTGACTCAGCCTTCAGCCTTTTTCAGGCTTCAGGTGGTTTGCTTTTTTTTATTTCACATTCTCATCAGCACCCTACAACATTTTTCTCTCCTCTCATTAGTTGCTGTGATTGTTTTTGTTTTAGTTTTACAACACACAATCATCATATTATCATATAATCTTTTTCCATATCATTAATAACACTCACCAATCAATGTCCACTGGTTACTTTCAATATCTTTCAGAGATTTTTTATTCTTATCACAAACCACAATAAGATCTTCGACCACACCCTGAACAGCAGGGGCCACATCCTCATTACAACGGGCACATGCTAATACAAAAGAATGAGAGGTACAACATCATTATTTCTTCAAGGTTGTGTATGAACTGGGGAAACCTTGGGAAACCTTTTATGGAGTTCTTTTGCATTCATGCAGAAATAAGACAATGAGGGTATTACGTACATCATAGGTAGCCTTCAGGCATGACTTGTCAATGAATGAAAGGGGTAAGTTTCCAAAGAAACTGTGGTGCTGCATCTTTAGAAGTGTATAACAAGGTAACTTAGTACTATCAACTGAGTTGATGATGTAAATTGGCCACTATAAAGAGTTTTCTCTGATGAAGGGCTAACACTTGAAATTTCACCTTTAAAACTCTCTACAGTAGAGAAATTTACGTTAACAACTCAGTTGATATTACTAAATTACCCTGGTCAATTTATGGACTGATGTTTTGCCCATCAAATAACTTATAAAACAATTAGTAGCTGGAAGATGGCAGACAGATCTGGTGACAGTCAACCAGAAGGTAACCAATAGTCAGCCCATGTATTGTGAAAGATATGATTACGTATTTTACTGATATCTCATGAAAGATAGCTGCAGATTATCACATCATCTAGTCCACTAACAACTGATGACAGACAGGTTGATGAAGAACAATTACAAGCGATCAATTCATCTTCATAAGTTAATTGTGGTTGATTTCATTCCAGAAAGGAAGGCTAAAAACATTGTGGCCTCTAAGATTAAAGGTATGTTTCCCAGACACTAATTAGACACCTCTACTGACGGAACCATATGATACCACATTTTAGGAGTGAGGCCAGTTTCAGTGGGTTTTTCATTCTTCTTAAAGGAATCTGACCTTACCTTCGATGTTACTAGTCTGTTATAACTAGAGATAAATGCACAGCTGTGAACAACAAAAGCTTATATGTAGATGGGTAGATAATTAGCTCTGGCAAAAGCTCAGAAGATCGCATATTATTACATGAGCACGATTTCCGATATATTGGGGCATAAAATTTGGCATATTAGCTCGTTTCCAGTGAATGAAATCTAAATATATCTCACCCTCATGATCTGCTGAGGAATCATCATGCACTATAAGAAATACCAAAAATCTATCCATGTTTACATCGGTAATCATTCCAGAATCTTGCGTAGCGAAGAGGATGTATCGATCCAAGAGTTCGCGGGCTTTACACAAACCGCTGACCGGTAAATAACGCAACGGCCAAACATGCATGACGATCAAAGGTAAGCATTACAAAGAAAAGATTCATAGATCGAGTGTCTTTTTCCAAAAGCAGCTTTCTGCATCGAAATGAAATTCTGATATTTTGAGGAAATTTTGTTCACTGCTTTTCCCTTCTGCTTTTGAATTGCGTACATGTATTAAAGCATTCTACTTAGAATTCCAAAACGCCCTCGCAACTAAGATATACCCAGAATTTCCGAGCGAAATGACCGAGTGTGAGCTGGGTATGATTTGCGTCCCTTTCGTGTGGCCTACAAATATTTTGTCATTTTACCGTAAAGATGGTGGAAACAACACTTATCTTCTCCGCTGCTAAAACTTCATTTGATCCTCAAGTGCAAGGATGTTTGATCATCGGGAAACCGCGAAACCTTCAGACTGTTACATTTGACAATTTAGCGGAAAAACTTTCGCCACGAGTTGACGCTGCGGTACGGCACTTTTTTTTATTTTATTCAATTAAAATTTATGTTTACAATAATTGATTCTATTTTCAATTTGAATAGCTTTTATTCAAACAGCTTATCTCAAATTGTGTCGTATGGTTTATATCAGTGTTACATCGTGATGTAGCAAATGGTCATTCCTGATGATCGAAAAATAAACGTTTCACGGAACAAAATATGATAACTCGTGTAATATTCGACTGGACTGGATTGCGGAAAATAAATGCCCTTGGAGCAATATCCTCCGTTTATTCTATGGTTACATTTATCCAATACAATTATTTTATTAACTGTCGTCAACGCCACATTTAGGAAGCGAAATTTTGAGGCAGCGCTATCACACGACTTTTGTTCTTAGAACCTAAAACCATTAAAAAAAAGAGCGAAGGAAAATGATGAAGAGCACCAAATGGTTAAAAAAAAACATGCTGAGACAGTTTTCATATTATTTTGATTTATCCTTCAGTTGGATTTATTGATAATATACATATAATACTAAAATTTGGTGATTCACATGCTCTTTTAGAAGAATCTTTTAGTTTCATACCAAACCGATTGCAGTACTCGATTAACTTGTATTCCAAGTATTCAAAATTTCATTTTCAGTTAACTCTTTAGGTCGTCTGTTAATCTCCAACTGGTTAAATTTATAGAGGTTCAAGGTGACTTATGAGGACTTCATTTAGTTATTGTATGTTGCAATTTTGCTATGGTATTTGTATATATATATTTTTTTTCATTATTAATAATTCCTTGGACCATGAACATTTGACTAAGAGGTTCACACAGCTAATATTTTCAGTTTCAGAGGTTCAAACTTTTTGGTTTTGAATTGAGACATGAATCAAATCTGAAAATCTGATACGGTAGCATTACTGACCAATTCTATCAAAAAACACCGAGCAGAGAAAAGATGCTATCAAATGTCTAAAGAGATGACTTGGAACCTTCACTTGTGCTGAACAGATTTGTAACTGTTAAATCATCCATCTCACATACATCCCTTTGATTTCATGGACTTTCTCAACCATTACATCTATCCAAGATGATTGTAGTAATTGTGTCCTTGCAAATGTCATTCTCTCTGTTTAAAGAGAATACTCTGCTCCTTCCCCTCAAATATCCCTTCATATGTAAATTATCATGCAGCAAGTAACGAGAAGTCAAAAACCTATCAGCCCAAAGGGTGTTTTGGCAGAGTTCACGAGTCATTTGAGTGTACAGAATTTACCAGCTAGGCAAAATTTGTATGTTTAATGATAATCTCAGATTAAAAATGAGCTTTTCCTTTATTTCTCTTGAAATAAAGTGTACATTAGGGCTTAGATTTTTTGTGGGGGGTTACCTTAGCATAAGATAAAACTGCAGGAAAAAATATTTTTATTTATTGAAACTTTTTATAGAGCAACAAAGCTAGGTCAGAAATTGTTTGCTAACACTGGCTTAACTCAAAACAATGTGGAACTGAGCAATTTTTTATGATCACTCTTTCAGGTTAATCTTCCGTAACTTTGCAAAATTTTCTTGCTCTTTCATTTCTTGGTCAATGAAACTCTTTTTTCATTTTTTAACTTCCTGCTCACTTAATTGATATAAGGAAGACTGTAATGAGCTTTAAGAGAGACTTGCTAATCAGGTAATGGTAGTTTAAAGGTTAAAGACATGGTTTTTGGATTATCTTTTAGACATTTAACCTTGTGCTTCACACCATGGCTGGTTCAGATGCTTGTCCAGTTTGGTTAAATCAAGTGGTTATTGGTGCTCTTCCTAATACAGCAAGTCGTCATAACTCCTCAGCCAGTCCTCACTTCCTTAACAAGCTTGTCTGCAGCCATCTTCCTGGAGGGGATGCTTGTATTGTGGTATGCAGATGGTTATATTGTCATTTAATTTTATCCTTAGTTCAAATTTTATTTTCTTTTACTCTTGGGTATTGTAATGTATAATAATGGGTTTGAAACAAAGGAAAATAAAATTTGAACCAAGGATAAAATTGAGCCATAGTGATTGCATTTTACAATATTTTAGTACTTCTTGTAATTGTAAACCTAACTTTGCTACTTACTTTCTTTTCATCATGATATAGCTTTTCTCACCTTTCAGGGCTTTAGAGATTTGACAGAGTTCATAACCTGGGCCCTAAAATGAAACACAATGCAGCTGATCTAGTGATCAGTCATGAAATTCCAAACTAACAGTCATTTTAAGGAAGACTTCTCAATAATTTATCATGTAAATTTCAGACTATTCTGATGACTAGCATAACAAGTAAAAGACTTTATTAATTATATTCCCTCTGTTTTTGTTTTGTTTTGTTTTGTTTTGTTTTTTTGCTTCCCAGGTTGTCTGTGAAAGACATGATGCTTTTGCTTCAGCTTGTGCTATTTCAAGGGCTTTCCCAACTTATTCAAGAAAGACCTCTAAAGCTGCAAAATTGTTATCAAGAACTGTAACTGTAGAGTTCATTCTTGTTGGAAACAATGATTCTCCAATCTCAAGTGAAGATGCTGCTTGTATGAATGTAGTTGCAGACAGCATCCGTCTGAGTGCTCGCCTGGTAGATATGCCATGTGGAGATTTGCACACCACTGCATTTGTTCAGGTGTGAGCTGATACTTAATATGTGTATCTTCACCACATCTAAAACCAATGATCCATTGGACTAGAATGCTCTGTACTGGTTTTAGTGCAAGTACCTCACAAAGTTACAGATATAGAGTCTTGTTATCATTCTTTATCACAACTAGGGTGTTTAATGTAGGAGGAAAAAAAGGTTATTTTCAGAAAAGAAAAGCCCAGGAAAGTTTCTACCATTTATTTTAGAAATAATTGTAGTTTTTCTTGAATTTTTGAACTGAACAGGATAATATAATTTGATCAGGTTACATGGCCCAGCATCTCTGCACCCTGTAGAGGTCTTGTTCTAAATGTGTTTTTCTGCCTTCTTTTGTCTCTTCATGTCCTTTTTTGTCCAGGAAATTACTAAAGTTGGTGAAGAATTAGGTATTGTTCCTGTTGTGATCAAAGGAGAAGAACTTGATCAAAAAGGTTTTGGAGGTAAGATGAGCTGCAATATTTGTAAAGGGATAATCCTTCAC